TGCACTGTAGTCTGTTGTTTTCTTCAAGGCATCTCTCACAACGCACGTACATTTTTGTGCAAGTGTCTTGTAAGTCCCGGAGCCAGAGTCTGGTCCCCACATGGAATTTCATTCCAATAAGTGTATTCAGCCAAAAATACTTCAAAAAAAATCCTCACCCAAGGGTATGTTTATTGATTTTAGAGAGAGGGGAGGGAGAGAGAAACAGTGATGTGAGAAACATTGGTTGCCTGCTGTACACGCCCGACTGAGGACTGAACCAGCAACCTAGGTATGTGCCCTCACCAGGGATTGAACCCACAACCCTTCTGTGCAACCCTCCAGACACCACTCCAACCAACTAAGCCACCTAGCCAGGGCAAAAAAATATATATTTTAAATGTGCCTTAGTCTTTAACAGTCTCTTGGAAGGAAAAAAGCATCAAAGGGGCTCCACGTCACAGTTCCCAACAGCTCCCGTAGGTTCATATCCCCTTTTTCCTTTCATTCTTTCTACCAATCCTTTTGTGGATTGGTAGAGCTTTTCTCTTCATAAATTTTGCTCCTAGGGCCCTCCTTTGAAATGTTTCCTCCCTGTTCTCTTCTTTTGCATCGTGAACATTCAGAACTGATTTGAAAAATACATTTTCGGTGGAGGTGGGAAAGTTGAGGGACAATGCCTTCATCAGACAGGGGATTGGGAACATTCACACATTGATGGTTTTGGTTTACCACCTGTGGTTGACCTCCAGATTGTATTTCATGAGGACAGTGAAAATATCTGTTCTATTGGCTTGTAACACAAATATCTTACAAATACACAGTTTACACTTGTTTTCTGGGGAAAAAAGAAGGAAAGTCCATCAACTGAGGTAAAGACAAGGAAATACACAGCACAGAGCAGGGACTCTTGGCCTAGTGAAGGGTAGGGCGGGGTGTGCAGCAAGTAGTGCTGGCCTGGGAAGGCCTCCTAGAGAAGGGGAGGACAACACAGAATCTTCAAGGGCAAGAATTCACCAAAGGAGGAGGTGAGGGCAGAGAAGAGTATTCTGGGTAGAAGTATGGCAGAAGCTGAGACAAATAGCAAACAGCTCAGGGTGCTACTGCTAAGTGAGAAGTAGCAGAACTGTCAGGAGGTAGGGCTAGAGGGCCAGAGGTGGGCATGCAAGGCCTTGTACACCACGTCAAGGAGGCGGACTCTGTCCTGGGGGTGCTGGAGCCAGTAGATGTGGTGGGGAATCATTCTCAGATTTCCATTTAGAGGTTACTGTGTGGCAGTGTGAAGTTGAATTTGAAAGAGGTAAAAGAAAAAAGAATAATTGCAAAACAAAATAATGGAGGTTGCAGTAGCGATAAGTAGTTACAAGTAATTTTTAAAATTTATCTGGGCCCTGGCTGGTGTAACTCAGTGGATTGAATGTGGGCTGCGAACCAAAGTGTCTCGGGTTCGATTCCCAGTCAGGGCACATGCCTGGGTTGCAGGCCATGACCCCCAGCAACCGCACATTGATGTTTCTCTCTCTCTCTCTCCCTCCTTCCCTTCCCTCTCTAGAAATAAATAAATAAAATCTTTAAAAAAATTTATCTGGAGGTCATATTGGCAGAACTGGGTGGGTGCAGATGGGGTCAGTGAGGGAGGAATCTGGACTAGTGGCCAAACTTCTCAGGATGGTGATGTCATTACCTGGGGCAGAATGAACAGGGGTCAGAGGTTGGCAGTGGGGGGATAGTGGAAGGTTTCCAGTTCACTTCTGGTGCAGGTGACTTTAAAGTTCCTGCAGGACTTCTAAGTTCAGGTGGTCAGCAGGTACTTGGGTGTATGTCTGCAGCTTAAGCAAAGGCAGGGTCAGAGATGCAGACTGAGGAGGGAGCAGCATGTGGGTAGATAATGCGCTCAAGAGTCAGCTGTGTGGGCCCTGGCCAGAGAGCTCAGTTGGTTGGAGCGTTGTCCCAATATGCCGAGGCTGGTCAGGACACATACAAGAAGCAACCAGTGAAGGCGTTGATGAGTAGAACAAGTTTATGTTTGTTTCTCTCTCTCTAAAATCAACTTTAAAAAAAATTTTTTTTAAAGAGTTAACTGTGGGAGAATTCCAGCCAAGATGGAGGCATGGGTAGACACACTGTACCTCCTCGCACAACCAAAATAAGGACAATTTAGAAACAAAAAACAGCCAGTACTGAGAGAAAATTGAACTATATTGAAGTCCAACAAGCAAGGAGTTAAAGTAGACACATTCATCCAGACTGGTAGGAGGGGCAGAGTTGGGCGGCCGGGTGGAGAGAGGTTGCGGTAGGGTGGCTGGCAGACCCCGAATGCACAGGTGGCAGCGGTGAACCCAGCAAGGTGGTGGATTGTGGAGGGGTATGGTGTGCAAGGTGGCTGGCAGACCAGGAAGTCCCACATTCATATGCAGATAAACCAGGTGAAACTGGGGATCCAAGACAGCCTAAGCAATCCAGGGTCTTAGCGCAGGGAAATAAAGCCTCAAAACACTACTTGAAAACACCTGTGGGAGTTGAGGTGCCAGGAGAAACTCCCAGCCTCACAGGAGAGTTTGTTGGAGAGACCCACAGGGTCCTAGAATGTACACAAACCCACCCACTGGGATTAGCACCAGAAGGGCCCAATTGCTTGTGGGAAGCGGGGGAAGTGACTGAAATCCAGCAGAGAGAGGAGCAAGTGCCATTGTTCCCTCTCGGACCTCCCCCACATACAGCATCACAACCCAGTGACTGGGTTGACCTGCCCTGGTGAACACCTAAGGCTCCGCCCCTCACTACATAACAAGTGCATCAAGACAAACAAAAATGGCCCAAATGAAAGAACAGATCAAAACTCCAGAAAAAATACAATGAAGCAACGAAGAGATCGCCAACCTATCAGATGCACAGTTCAAAGCACTGGTGATCGGGATGCTCACAGAATTGGTTGAATCTGGTCACAAATTAGATGAAAAAATGAAGGCTACAATAAGTGAAATGAAGAAAAATGCAGAGGGAACCAATAGTGATGGGAAGGAAACTGGGACTCAAATCAATGGAGTAAACCAGAAGAAAGAAAGAAACATCCAACCAGAAAAGAATGAAGAAACAAGAATTCAAAAAAATGAGGAGAGGTTTAGGAACCTCTAGGACATCTTTAAACATTCCAACATCTGAATTATAGGGGTACCAGAAGGGGAAGAGAAAGAGCAACAAGTGGAAAAGTTATTTGAACAAATAATAAAGGAGAACTTCCCCAATCTGGCAAAGGGAGTAGACTTCCAGGAAGTCCAGTAAGCTCAGAGAGTCCCAAAGAAGTTGGACCCAAGAAGGAATACAGCAAGGCATATCATAATTACATTAGCCAAGATTAAAATTAAGAGAATCCTAGAAGTGGCAAGAGATAAGGAGACAGTAACCTACAAAGGAGTTTCCATCAGACTGTCAGCTGATTTCTCAAAAGAGACCTTACAGGCAAGAAGAGGCTGGAAAGAAGTATTCCAAGTCATGAAAGGCAAGGACCTACATCCAAGATTGCTCTATCCAGCAAAGCTTTCATTTAGAATGGAAGGGCAGAGAAAGTGCTTCTCAGATAAGGTCTAGTTAAAGGAGTTCATCATCACCAAGTTCTTATTATATGAAATGTTAAAGGGACTTAGCTAAGAAAAGGAAAATGAAAAACATGTACAGTAAAATGACAGCAAACTCACAATTATTAACAACCACACCTAAAACAAAACCAAAAGAAACTAAGCAAACAACTAGAACAGGAACAGAACCACAGAAATGGAGATCACATGGAGGGTTAGCAACAGGGGAGTGGGAGGAGGAGAGAAGGTAAAAGGATACAGAGAATAAGTAGCATAGATGGTAGGTAGAAAATAGACAGGGGGAGGGTAAGGATGTATGGGAAATGTAGAAGCTAAAGAACTTACAAGTATGACACATGGACATGAACTAAAGGCGGGGAGTGTGGGTGGGAGGAGTGTGCAGGGTATAGGGGAGTGAAGGGGGAAAATGGGACAACTGTAATAGCATAATCAATAAAATATATTTTAAAAACGAGTCAACTGTGGGGTGTGCTGGGAACAACTATTCTCAGGGTGGCATTTGGTCATGCGTACTTCCCTCTCCCACCTCACTTGTGCTTCTCTTACCTACGACCATTCCTTCTCCAAATGCTTTGCAGCCTCCTCTCACTCCTCCCCTAAAATTTGGTGGTCTCAGGTGATTGCACTACCTGAGTCCCCTACTGTGCATCTATCAAAACTCTATCTGCAGCCCAGAATTCTCTTTTTTTTTTAAGATTTTATTTATTTATTTCCAAAGAGGGAATGGAGGGAGAAAGAGAGAGAGAGAAACATCAATGTGCAGTTGCTGGGGGCCGTCATCTGCAACCCAGGCATGTGCCCTGACTGGGAACTGAACCTGCGATGCTTTGGTTCACAGCCCGCGCTCAATCCACTGAGCTACGCCAGCCAGGGCTGCAGCCCAGAATTCTTATGTAAGATGAAGACCTGTGTGTCCAACCACTCTCTAATAGTAACCAGCACTGCAGACTCATTGTCCAAGGGGCCACACAAAGGGCTGGTGGCTCCCTGTCCTAAGCACACCACTCATCTACTGATGACTTGCCTACCCCAAAAGAGGGCTGACTTGCACTTGTCTGTGACTATTTCTTGTTTCTCTGAAAATGTCACCTTTGGAGATCCAGGGCTAGAAGTCAGATCTGTCAACAGGCATTAGTGCATGCTCCACCTCCCCGCCCTGCGCTAACCCTGCACATACCTCTATCAAGGCCAACTCCCATTGCATACCTAGTGTGTTTGCTTGCTTTTCACCAGGAATCCAAATCAAACCAAAAGGAAATAAAATTTAAATCTTATTAATATACTGAATGTGGCACAAATAACACCCCTTTTTATTACAAAATCATAAGCAGATAATTCTGTAACATAACAATATCACACTCAAGCACACCATATGACATTTTAGGTGACATGTTCAAATTAAAACTATAATTATTACACCCACATTATTACCCTACCAACCACACTCAAGCAGACCTTACTTCTGCTGGACCCTGTAGAATAAAAGTAATTTCATATTATAAAAGAGGAAAAATAGTTTATATGGATATGTTCCTTTAAAACAAAAATTGCCTCTTCTTTTGTAGTAAAGGAGTGCCTTTTGCTTTAGAATACCTTGTTCTGCTCGGTTTCAGTGATGAAAGGACTCTGAACTTGTAAGCAAACTTTGCCATCACTTCTGCTTATTATGTCGAGAAGTTGGTTGAAACACAAAACCAGTATTTTGATAAATTCACTTGAAAATATTTTCCACATCCGCTCCTTAAAGCTAGTTACACCAACATGACCTTCCACTCCCGAGGAGTACAGGGGTGGTCTTGGACTTGATTACAGATACTGAAGACAAACACACAAAACCACCTGTGTGGTCTAGAGAAAGGCGTCCTGAGTTTGACGTGATGGCTTGACCATCAACCGTACCAGGGTTCACTAGCAGCTACAGTGTAGTTCTTCACTATACTCCTGCTGTGAACTTACCTCTTTGAATGTAAACCTTTGGCATGATTTCTGCACTATGAAATTACCTTGAAAACTTCACAGGAAAAAATTAAGAAAGTTTCAATTACTTCATCTTGAAAATGGAGAATCTTGAAATTTTCACAGAAGACATTAAGAAAGTTTCAGTTATTCCAGAAGCCACCAGTATAGATCATGCCTCTTCTAACAGGTTGACTGTTCAGGAGTTGTAGGGTGCTTGGTCATCACCTGAGTGAGCCGCACGGAGTGGCCCTCAGCTCGTGGTGCTTGTCACTGCAGGATCAAGGGAGCCAGGCCAAAGGGTGAGAGATGCTCAGCTGAGCAGCGGGGAATTAGGGCTCAGGCAACCTGGGTACTTCTTGTTGACCTCTGGCTTATCACGGGTCAGCAGGACTCATCTCACCTTGCATATACACCCTCTGTGTGAGTACGAATAGATGCGTAAGAACACAGTCATCTCTGTTCTTCACAGAGTACGCGGGGCTTGGACAAGAAAAGTCACACGTTTATATAAATGCCCATTTTCATACCAATTTATGAATCCAAAATGTCTCTCAAAGAGAATAGGAAATACTAATTTTAATAATCGGTTTTGGATGGGAGTACTTCTGATACCCAGTGGAAATTATAATGGTGTCTTCCCTAGGTTTTAAATTCCTTTTATGCATTTATGGCATTTTTTTCCATCATATACTAAATTCTGTCCATCCTTACATTACTATTACCAAAATACCTTTAAATTATCTGTTTATATATACATATATACATTAAGTCAAACCTTGTTAAAACTCTTAAATTTGTTTCTGATCTTTGAAAATAGTTTTCACGTGGTTGAACCTAATAAAATCTGAACTTGAGTTGGATGTTCATATCTCCTTATACACATGCTTGTGCTTCCTTCGGCTTTACCTCAGCAGGGACAATGAAGGTGCTCACTCTGGCCACCAGTTCCTGTGCAGCCTTGCAACACTGTGCTTGTGGATGCCTGGTGAATTTCATGAAAATATCTGATGGTGTGGTGATTCAGCACCAGACCAAAACCCATCTGTTCCAACTGGACACACTGTCTCTGTCAGTACACCACCCATCTGCCGATCCAGAACAACCAGCCCCAAAAAGAAGGCTTTTGCAGCCTTATGGTCACGTCTAGAATCAGCAGACCAAATACCCAAGCATTTTCAATTGGGAATTCCACATCTGTGTTTTCAATAACATGTGCCATAGAGCGTCTCCCCTGAAACCCTGCCCCACGCCCTGGTAGAGGAACTATACCCCAGACCTTGCTTTCAAGAAACTTTCCTATTGTTCAAGAGATAGAGAAATATAAATAACAAGAGGATATCCTAAGTGTTTTGTTTCAAATGGGAACAGGGTAAAATGTAAAAAGAAGACAGCACTTAGGAAGTTCTCAACTGGCTTCAAACACTAAGGGCAAAACCCCGAATATTTACAAGTGTGCACCGAGTTTAAGTTCAGTCACTGTGCTAACCAAAAGTTTCCCCCATGGTTCTGGACCCAGGAAGTCCTTTTATCACCCAGAAGCAGCGACTAGAGATCCTCCAGGTCAGTTAAATCCACAGCCACTTTCAAGAACATGGTGTCATCTTTGATGTAGGTGTTCTTGGCATTCTCCAGCGTGGAGTGAGGCACGAAGCGGGGACAGCCAGACGCAATGTTCATCTCCCCGTCCGGTCTCTTAAAGCTGCTGCTGTTGGGGTCAGCCTTGAAGGTCTCCACGATGTGGTTCTTTTTGCCACTCTGGTCCAAAAGCATCAAGGTTACCCTCTGCCTGAAAGGCCACTGCAACAGTGAGTCAAACTCTCCTCGCATCACCACAAAGTACAGCGACAGGTGCGTCCCCTTCCCGGACCCGTCTCCGTTCAGGTACGCCCTGGCGCACAGCCGGTAGCCACACCGGCTGGTGTAGAAAGGCTGGCTGAAGATGGACACCGTGTGCCCGTCCAGCGCCTCTCTCTTCTTCATTCTGTAGTCGGTCACCTTCCAGATGAGCTTCCCATTATAGCAGGCCCCTTCCAGCAGTTTAAACCGCTCTTCGTTTCTGTTCAGCTGCGCTTTATGGTTGTTGATGTGGGCGTCGTGTTTGTGTGTCTCCCCTTCCAGAACAACTGCAAAGAAAGAAAGAAAGAAAGATAGAAAGATTCTGGAGGCCTGAGTTGTGTTTAGCGTTTGCCCAAAGTGGTCTTTTGTTATCTGGAAAGAACCAATAAAACTCTGACATCCTAAAGGTGAAGTGAATTCACGGCCACCAGCAGACCATCTGCATTAGTAATATCAACTCAGTGGATCTCACGTCTTGGCAGGAGTGGCACCAAGGAAACTCGAATGCGCCCTGTAGAGCTGAAGCTCGCCCACGTGTAGAGCAGACACACCCCACATTCAACTAACGTGTGTTTGCGTGGTGAGCCCCACGGGTTTCAAACTGGGGTACTTTCCAACAGCCAAACACTTTACTATTTTTCTGTAGAGGTATACCTGGTTTTATTCCACTCTGTTGGGCTTTGCAAGACATTGCTTTTGTTACAAATTAAAGGTTTGTGGCAACCCTGCCTCAAGCAAGTCTATCGGTGCCCTGTGCTCATCAGCATTTGCTCACTTCCTGTCCTGTGTCACATTTTGACAATTCTCGCAACATTTCACACTTTTTCATTGTATTTGTTATGGTGATCTTGATCAGTGATCTTTGATGTTGCTAGGGCAAGGCCCTTCAGCAGCACAAAGATTTACAACTCACCAAACGCTCAGATGATGGTTAGCATTTCTTAGCGATAAAGTATCCATTAATTAAGGCATGCACATTGTTTTTTAAAGACAATTCTATTGCACACTTAATAGTCTACAGTGTAGTATAAATATAACTTTTATATGCACCGGGAAACTAAGAAATCTGTGACTCACTTTATTGCGATATTTGCTTTATCACAGTGGTCTGGAACCAAATCCGCGATATCTCTGAGGTGTGCCTCCACATAAAGCAGTGTGCCCACCACACCTCTTTCTTAGCTTTACTATTATTTTCCACTCTCAATAAAAAACTGTCATTCCTTTGTTCTTGGAATATCCCGGCTCTTTTCTTCTCTTTGTCTTTTCCAGCCCCAACTCATGGCTCTTCATAATTTTTGTCTGAGTAGCCAGGACACCACTGCTGTGTTCTGTTTCACAAACACCAGATTCAGCCATTCCGTATCCCAGACAGCTGTGGCTCTCCGTTTGGCCAGGTGCTGGCTTATGTCATGAACACACGCAGACAGACGAGTCACCAAAAGAGAAGTATAAAATAGTAGACATACCTAGTCTTTGATCATTGCTCTCTAGCAGGGTAATTTTCTGTTTCACTGTGTCAATCGCTTCCATCAAAGTCCTCAGATCGAATTTATTTTGTTGCTGGTTTGCCATTTGTAACAAATGACGCACTTGAGCTTCGAGCCAAGCCGACTTGTCGATGTGACTGGCAAGAACCTTTCAGTACAAAATGGATACCAATATCTTAGTAGTTCATTGAGATTACATTTTTTTTCAACTCAAACACTTCACATTTACTGAATCAATTAATGAAATAACTCCACAGTCCAGAGGAGAAACAGTCAATAAAGAAGACTGCAGAGAGATTAAGCGCCTGTCTTCCCCTCCTCCTCTCTATCCCAGGTCCTGTTCCAAATCTTTGAACTTCTCTTTATCGGATTTTTTTACTCCTCCCACAATTTCTCCCCACTTGGTTCTCTAACCTATCTTTAGATTTCTTCTACTCTCACAACGTTGTCTCGCCTCTTGCCTTACCACTGCCTTCTCTCCTGAGAAGCTGCTCTCCTGATTTGCTTCTGCTCTGCTAGAAGGCAGAGAGCGAGCTGGAAGTCAGCCCACCTGCTCTGGGAGGAGCGCTGCAGGTGGTACACAGTGCCCTGAGAGGAGGCCTGAACTTCCGATTGCTCCCTTTAGACGGAACAGATTAAATGTCTGCCACTACATTTCTCCTCCACCCTCACCCTCACTGCCTCAACTTGGATTGCTCTCTTGCTGTGTTAGAAAAAGATCAGAACTACAATAGCAACATATAATGCATTTCCTTTTCTCTTGACATGTTCGGGCAAGCGCACACACACTCACACACAGTGTGCTGACACAGCATGCAAACTGTATGGCCTGCATCTTCTTTGATCCAAATTTCAAAAATATTGCCCATATCACGTCTTGAAATCTTTTTTCACTATAAATTATATAATCATAATAAAGACATGATTCATTAGGAATCTGTTTATGGTTATTTTACATTCATGATTTATAAATAACTTTTGTTATACTTGAGTGGAGTTTAAAGCATTTTCTTCCCAAAGGAATTAACAGTTTCACTTAGCTGACTACAAAATGCAGAATTACAAATGCTCTCAATAAATCTGAACTCAAATGACTGATATTGGCCCAACATTAATTAAAACTGTACATGCCATAAATGATATAAAAGGATTGCATCAATGTTAAATTTACTGATGTTGCTAAATGTACTGGGGTTCTGTAAAAGATCTTTATTCTCACGACATACATACTGAAGAGTGTAGAGGTAAAATGCCATAATACAGGCAGCCTATTCTCAGGTGATTCAGAAAGAACAAAAGGAGAGAGAAGGAACGAATGATTGAATATGAACAATGAAGCAAACAGGACAAAATATGGATCATGGGTGAGTTTGGGTGGAGAGTTCTCAGGCGTTTTTTGCACTACCTTATTCTTGCAGCTTTTCTATACATTTAAATTTATTTCCATTTAAAAAGTTGTAAGAGAAACCATGACTACCAATCGAAGGCTAAATCTTGGCTATGGATAGAAAGGTCATTTCTCACCTGGGTGTTTGAGAGGAAGCTTCCATTTTTGCCAAAGAGCTGTGCAAACTGCTTGAACTCCTTTTCAAATGTATTTACAGTTTCTGCTAGCTGCTGGATTTTACTTTCCTTCTGTTCTAAGCTCTTATGTAAGTCAGAAATCTAAAGACAGAAATGTGAATGAGGTCATTTAAATGCATGCATGCAAATGAAAACAAATGCAGCTCTAGAAGAATATTGCAGGTAGGAAGTGTCTCTAGGAAAGCTAAATACACACACATTATTTATATAATACATACATATTTATATATAGAATTATTGATCTATATATAGAATTATATATATATTTAATTTATATTTAGAAAAATATTTACAGGTGGATTCCTATGTAATTCTAGGAAACTACTTGCAGGTGCTTTGAAAAAGACCAATCCACAGATTTCTCAGCAGCCCAGTAGGGTTAACCCACTGTGATGGTTCATCTGAGGGCAGTGACGCCACCTGGCTGAATTTTCTGAGCTGGTTCCCTTCAAGCACTCAGGAAGCACTCACTGAACAGCCGCAGAGTCCTGACCCCCACACCACATTAAATACTCTGCACAGTGTCAATGGGGACAGCTGAAATTTGCTGCATATCTATTGGACCCTTGTCTTCAATAGCTCTTTCATCCACGAAGAACCCTGTGAGTTGGGTATGAATATCAGTCCCATTTCACAGATCACGAAACAGAGGCAGATAGTTTAATCTTCCCAGTGGTAGGCAAAACACACTACTCTCTCGGAATTTGTAATCTATTTGAAAGAAATGACCAAAAACCTAAGAGTGCCCCCAGACAGCTCCTCTCTCATCTCCACATGCGCTCACTGGGCAACATTTGCCAACTTTAACTCTGGACACACAGAAGAACGAACAAAGCACCTCCTCCATCCATTTCCCATTTCATCTTGTCTTGTTTCGGCACTCGTTTTGGACTTCGTAACTGCTCACCTGGACTGTTATCTGGTGACCCGGCAGTCCTACACTCTCCTCACACATGCACCAGAGGAGCAGCTGTCTGGGAGCCCGGACTGGCACGGATTGCACAGGCTACCGTAGCCCCAGCAACTGGTACCTGGCACCAGCCGGTGCTTGATAAATATTTGTTAAATGAGTGAATGAATGAATGAATGCTCTCCCTGTCTTTAGTCTTGTTTCCCTCCAATGCACACCTCTTATGGTGCCCACAATACTATGAAGAGGCAGATCTGCTTTTGTCATCCCCCACTCGCCTGTCTCTGGTGGCCTTTTACAGGCCACTGGGGCCCTACACAGTCTGCCCCTGGCTGCCTTTGCAGCCTCTCACCCACTCATGCCCCAGGCGCGCCCTGCACAGCACAGCCACACGACTTCTATTTCCCTTCAGGTCTTGCTCTCTCAGACACTTCCTGCTTCATCTAGAAAGTACTGGTCTCTAAGCCACCACTCAAGAGCACATCCTCTCAGAACTATTTCCTTACCAGGAATACCTACCCAGGCCACCTCTCAAGTTCCCAGACACCCTGACCATACTCTACTAGCGCAGGGGCGTCAAACTCATTTTCACCGGGGGCCACATCAGCCTTGCGGTTGCCTTCAAAGGGCCGAATGTAATTTTAGGACTGCACAAATGTAACTACTCCTTCACTGTTAAGGAGCTGAAATTACATTCGGCCCTTTGAAGGCAACCGCAAGGCTGACGTGGGCCCCGGTGAAAATGAGTTTGACACCCCTGCAGTAGTGCATAACTTACCTTCATTACTCTTACTGCTTTTTTTTTTTTTTTTTGGTTATTTAGGTCTTTTTTCTTCACTAAATTGTTGAGGCTACATCTCACTTATTTCCTTATCCCCAAAGCCTCACATAGTGCCTGGCACACAGAGGGCCTCTGACACAGGTTTTGTGAATGAATGCGTAAACAGCTGCAATGACCGCCTGCTCCCTGGCCCAGAATCCTCTGTTAAGTCCCTGCCAGCTAACTCCCACCTACACACCAGACATATCTCCCCGAACAAAAGCAAACTCAGGAGTCTCCCAACCCGCACGTCTAACCTGCCCCTGAACATCACCATGTTCCTTGTCGTGGAAGCTTACACCCTCCCAGCACAACCGCTGAATGTCTCCCAATGCCCTCTTCCACCCCCCACTGAGGCAGCCGTGGTTGGGCCCTGGCCATCCCCATCACCTCCTCCAGCATCTTACGTCCCCCTGATGATGAAATGCTTATGTTCCAAGCACTGTGCTAAGAGCTTAAAGATATCATCTTGTTCAACCCTCACCACCACTCTTTTTACAAAGGAGGACATTGGGGCAGAGAGAGGTTGAGCAGCATCCCCAAGCTCACGTGACTAGCGTGGAGCTTCCGCCCTGTCCCTCTGTCCTGCTTCTCCTCTCTGCCTCTACCCACCTTCCAAGCTACTGCGAGCTGCCTTACTTTTCAAATCCAAACAAACAACTGGCTGGCCAAGTGTGTTTCCAGTGTAAAGCCTTCATTAGCTCCCTATTATTGACAAATGTTAGTTTGAACTTTTGGCCCTTAAATCCTTTCTCAAATAAGGCAGAATATTAACGAGTACAAAAAATAATTGAATGCAGTGTTCAAAAAATGTCTTAGCTTACATGGAAGGCCGGTGCCGCCTGCATCCAAGAGACCAGACCCAGCCATTCCCCGTCTCACACGTGAGTGCCTCTCCACCCCGAAAGCACGTTTCCTTGAACCGTCAGCCTCTCCCACGCCTCTCTGCTTTGGCACAAACTTTCCATCTGGAATGACCTCTTCCCACAACATTTTAACCAATAGGCCTTCTCTTCCTTCAAGACGTAGCTCCGATGTCCTTCCCCGATGCCCCTGGCGTAACTGATGCAGAGTCTGCACCCAGACATGGGGACCCTCACAGCGTGTCCTGTGAGGCACAGCAACTCAGCTCTGTACATTCTGTGTGTTCTTCAAGGGCAGAGACTGTGTCTTCCTCAACTCAGCACCCCTAGCAACTAGCACAGTGCCTGACACACGTGAGGTACCATGACACCTGACACAGGTGTTTGTTAAATGAATGGATGGGTGCATGAGGCAATGGTACAGAAAGACTTTGGGAATGGTGACTAGGCAGCATGGCTTGGACCCAAGTTACAGTGTAATCGGTCTTTCTCATTCTCCCCAGGATCTGACCCTAGAACTCACACTGCTACTTTACTCTGGAGTCAGACACTACAGGATAATCTGCAGCAGAAAATTCAGCTCCCTCCCTGCAGACAGATGGTTTTCTTCCTGATGTGGGCTTGAAAAGTCGGATCCTCTGAGATGGCCCTAAAAATAATTAACTTTTATAATAATTACTCAGAATCAGCACTTGCACATATCTTTGCACTTGCACAATTATCTTTCCTTGATAATTGCAACGCAGTGAGACAAATGTGTGCATAGGCATTTATCAGGTTGCAAAGCTTCTCAAAGTCAGGAGCGAGGACTTGCTACAAATAGATAAAACCCATAGGCCTAGAATAGACTGTCCACTGTTGTTTTATGGTCATGTGGATTTAATTTTAAAGCATCAGACAGCTGCTAGGCAACTGCTAGGTGCCAGGTATCATCATTAACCAAAAGGTGTGTGGAGAGGCTGCAGACAGGCATTATGGGAGCTCACGGAGACCGTCGGACTATGAATCAGGGGACACGGATTTGAGAGTGAATCCCGACACAAGTGACAAACACGTCAGGATCTCCTGGGCTTGAGTCACTTCATCTGTTGACTGATGATTTTGAAGCCTCCTTCCACTTCTAACACTCTATAATCCCATCACTCTGCCTGGCCGCTTAGTAGAAAAACACCTAGAGGGAACTGTTTCAAGTCGAGTGGGAATGTAGCCCAGCCCCCACTCGGAAAGGCCTGTGGGGAACAAAGTCCCAGCACACAGGAGCCACACCCATGGAGAGGTTCTCCCGTGGGGAATCAGGCCTGCATTGTACCTAGGCTGTTACGAGACTTGCTTTTGCTAAAACTCCCTCACCCTGAATTGAGGCAGCAAGTGCTTACTGCAACTTCCTAAAATCTGAGCTAAACCTCCCAAGTATGGAGTGTAACCAGTTCAACACTTTTCCCCTTGATCTGTAACTTCCTTCTCTCTGAAGTAATTAGCAACATTCTTTCCTTTGTTATCTGTAAAAGGTAGTCACCTGAAGTGAACCTGTGCATAGTAAATGAGGACCATCCTCAATGTAATGTACCCAGAAAAACAACAAAAGCCTGTCCAGGCAGGGGCCGGGACCCTCTCTCTCTCTCAGAGAGGGGCCATGCCATCCCTTTTTCTCCACAGGACTCCTGTAGTCCGTGTGAATTTGTCTCTCTCGGCCGCAACACACGGATCCTGCCGGCCAGGGTCCACACCAAACACCTACCTCCAGTCGACTTATACTGAAACGGAGAACACAGGAATGCCAAAAATTGCAAATCCCAGCAATTCTGCCGCTTCCCTTTGCATCTGAACCCTGGATCGTTTACTTACCTGTTCTTCTAAGTGGACGTTCTTTTCTAAAACGAGCAGCAGGTGGTCCTGTAAGGCCGAGTGCTCGTGCTGCTGCAGGGTCCCCCGTTTGCCCTTCGGGATGGAGACGACAGTGAGTCAGGCGGCTGCCAGTCCCCCAGAACGAGGATGGTGGCGGGGTACTCTGCCAAAGCAGAACTGGAACAACTTTGCTTACTTTTCTCGAGGCAGGTTGCAGAAAAAACGGCCCCTCCAGTTCCCTTTTCCAGCATTAGGATTCAACAGTACCCACTGGACCATTTTAAACTCCCAGAGACAGAGAATCAGGCCACTGTCAAAATTCTCAAAACTGATTTCCTTCCTTGCCCTGGGAATACAGGGTGGAGCAAAAGTAGGTTTACAGTTGTTTACATGGAAAATAACACAATCGTTAATAAATAATAATAATACAAGAATGAACTCTGTTTTGCATGCTCAGAGAAACCTACTTTTCCGCTACCCTGTATACAACTGTGGGTTAAGTGTAGTTACCACCTTTCAACTATCCCCATATAAAACCTGTCTCCTGGGCGAGTTAGCTCCAGATGGGTTCTAGGCTGGTTCTCCCTCCCACCGAGCACATTCCTGTTCTATCACCGTCCTGCTGTCACAGGCCGAAGGCTTGCGTCCAAACTGTAATTCCAGCGCATGCGAGTGCGTTGCCCTCCCAGTCATTGCAAAGTGCCTGTATCAGCAATAAAAGCAAGTTGTGGGGGTTTTGGGCGCTCCATGGACTTTAAGCAAACAGTCACTGTCAATTTGTCTTCTGTTTAAGGTTGGCCCCTCATCCAGAGAGCAAGTTCCGTCACCAGCTCTGGTCCTGATGTAAGTTCTAAAATATAACCCGGTTGGACGTTTGGGCTGAACTATAGAGAAGATTCCTTTCAGAGCTGGAAAGCAATTCTGTATTCCATGCACTAGGGAGGTGAATCCTACCCTTTTAATAGCAAAGACAAATATATAGCAAATATGTATATATACTTATAAATATATATACTTATATATTTATACATTATTTATGTTCTATATCTCCTGTTGGTTCTGTTTCTCTGAAGAACCCTGAAAAATTCAACTGCCAGTCTTACAGTTCTCATAGGTGAGTGCCCTTTTGTACTCCAATGGAATCAAAGACTACAGGCAACTCGCCCAAGGAACTTGCACAGCAGAACGCAGAGGCAGAAAGAAAGAGACACTGCATACCTTCACAGGACAGCCATAGTTCTTGAAAGGACAGTCTTTTTCTGCTTCAGGACACACAGCAAGGTGCTCATCCACCTACAAAAGGAATAGCCTCATGCTACAGAAATTCGTTGGCGATTCTCCACTGCCTGGTGTAACTGCAGCAAGCGGGGGGCCCATGTGGGGGGGTGGAAAGAATGGCAGGACCAAGAGAAGGAAAAGGCCATGCGAGGGCCTGGCGGAGGGGGCGCATGGTGAAAACGGGGTAGAATTCTCAGGAAAAGGGAAGGGAGGACAGAGGCGCGGTTATCACGGGTGTCATTTGAGTCTCGAGTCTGCTTAGGCGGCTCGCCCGAGATGATCGCTAAAAGTTTATCTTACATACAATCTCCTGAGAGAATAATTTACAGTTACCTCAGCTCTGGGAATAGTGTGCAGACACTTGTTGGGACAAGATACTGGGTACTTGGGACACAGGTTTTCCTCGTGATTCTGAAACAGAGAAGAGTGTGGTGAAACAGTGCCACCCTTGCTGCCCTGGGTTCCCTCATGTGCCCTCAAAGTGTTTGTGCACATGTGTCTTGGGAGATCTATTTATGCGGCTTTACCATCTGTGGGAAGGTATGGCCTCATTCCAGAGAGGATTATGTACAGAGGGCTGCTTTCTCGGTACGAGGGAATTCAATGGCACCCAATTTTCCCATTATTGCAAAAGAAGGGCCCAGGGCCCAGGGCGCACAGGGGGAAGGCTGTGGGAGTCACCGTGGGGCTCCTTCGGCACAGGCCCCCACGCTCCATTTCATGCCTCCGCCCCAGCTCTCCAGTCGGATCCCAGCGTCCCAACGACAGGCAGTGTCGGCACCTCCCGGTGACCCAGCACCGGTGTCATGCCCTGCCCACTCACCCTCAGCAGGTGCTCGGATGATATTTTTGCCAATGATAAAAGAACAGAGTCCCACCAGCAAGAAGGCTTTTTGTTTTTTACAGAACTTCTCTCATATTAAGCTATTCTTTAGAACTATTTCTGCACAAAAATAAATCCAGAAAGGTGCTTCTGGTAGCCCATCTGAGTAATGTGATCACAGAGGCAGATTGTAGCCTCATAAAAGTGACTTTTTTTTTTTACCTGTAGATTGATTACCACCACATCCTTTTTGCAATAAAGGCATCTTTCCTCTCGAAACTGGCAGTAGGCGCTCAAATGCTCTTTCAGGTGTTTCCGGAGGATTGGCTGCCTGCAGTTCTCATTAGAACACGGCACAACTTGAAACAAGCACTGCTGAAGGTGGTCCTGCAACAGATGAGGGCGGGAGGAATGCGGCGGCAAGGCCCGGTGAGAGCGCTAGGGGGCGCCAGGAGGGAGGGCAGCCAGGGCTGCTTGGACCAAGGCTGTGAAAGCCGGCCTTGCTTGGTGGGAGTTAGGAGGATGGTGGAAGATGGGTGAAGGAGGAGGTATAGTGAGTTTATTTTAGATTACCTAGGAACGTGCTCACGTTCTCTGGTTAGTTCTTCAATATTCTCCTTAGGCTTGCCAATGAATTTACCAGATCCTCAAAGGTATTTTCTACTTCTTTTATGCACTCATCACTACCAGCACCCAGTACTAATCTCTGCACAGCAGATGGTAAAAGCCGGGACAGAGGGCAAGAAGGAAGGGAAGGGATTAAAGGGAGAAAAGGGAGGGAGAGGAAGCTGGGCCAGAAGTGGTCGAGAAAAGGAGGAAGAGGAGACGCAGGATCACAGGTCCACGAGAAGGTGGGAGTGGTCAGTCTTATAAGGTCAGGAAGTGTTTTTAACTAGAACATAAGAGAATAATGGCATAGTGTTCATTCTAGTTGTATTCACATTAGAGATTTATGAAAAGAGGCATATTTTAATAAAACCTTTGAATGACTGTAAGTTATTGTGATTCTGACAAGTTGTCAAACTCCTAAAGAACTCGTCTCCCTGAAAAATCCTTTAAAACAGGGTTGGTAAGCTATGGCCCTTGGGTCAACCTGGCCTGCCACTTGTTTTTGTAAATAAAGTTTTATTGGCTACTCAGCCACTTACCTATTTGTTCACATAAGATCTATGGCTGCCTTCCTTCTAAAATGGGAGCACTGGGTCATTGTGACAGAGATTGTATGTCCTGCGAAACCTAAAATATTTGCTGTCTAGCTCTGGACAGAAACAGTTTGCTGACCCCTTCTTTGAAGGAAAAAATGGCTAAGAGTTTTTCCATAGGAGGTAAATATCATAGCTGTTTTCCTTTGCCTCTGTTAGTAAGAAACAAATGGTGATGACAAATGAAATCCACATCTTATTCACTTCCGCTCAAGATGGAGGTGCAGGTAACATGTTTGGCCGCAACCACAGAAAGAATTACAGCCAGACCTCAGAACAACACGCAGAACTATCAGAAAATCAAGCTGTGGGGGTGGAAGCCTGACAACCAAGGATTTAAAGAAGCCACATTGGTCAGATGGGTAGGAGGGGCGGAGGTGTGGAGAGGGGAGGGGATGAGGAGGCGGCAGAATGGGTGGTCCCACATTCAAGTGTGGTGGATAAAAATTGGGAGGGATACCTTGGGGGTAAACAATCGCAGCCCCAGGCAAGACTGCCCAGCCCAGGATTCTAGTGCCAGGAAGGTAAATCCATATAACTTCTGGCTATAAAAACCAGTGGGAGTTGGGACAGCAGCAGAACTGCAAGGTTTTCAGAAGACTCAGCTTAAAGGGCCAGCACATACTTAAAACGTATGCAGACACACCCACTCTGGGATTCAGCACCAAGGCAACAGCTGGAAGGGCACCAGATGCACAGGGCCAGTGCCAGGCAAACCTCCAGAAGCCAGGCAGTGGTACTGTCCCCTCTCCAAGCTCTGCCCCTACACAGAGCTGTAAAGCAGCGAAACAGGTTGCCCCACCCCGGCAATTACTGAAGGCTCTGCTCCACACAATTTACAGGTGCTTTTTCTACAATAGGCCACACTACTAAGACAGGGAGTCAAAGTAGCTCTACCTAATATACAGACACAAACACAGGGAGGCTGCCAAATTGAGGAGACAAATAAATACGGCCCAAATGAAAGAATAGAACAAAACCCCAGAAAAAGAACTAAATGGAACAGAGATAACCAACCTACCGAATGCAAAGCTCAAAACACTGATGATCAGGATGTTCAGATAACTCATTGAATATGGCAACAAAATAAAAAACATCCAGGAATAAATGAAGGCTACACTAAGTGAAATTAAAGAAAATCTACAGGAAACCAATAGTGGAGGGCATGAAGCTGGGATTCAAACCAACGATTTGAAGAAACAAGAAGAAGAACATAAAGAACATGAAGAACAACATAAAGAAGAAATAAGCACTCAACCAGAACAGCAAGAAGAAAAAAGAAAAAAAAAAGAAGAGGATAGTATAAGGAGCCTCTGGGACATCTCTAAACGTGCCAACATCTGAATCATAGGGGTGCCAGAAGGAGAAGAGGAGGAGTGAGAAACTGAACACTTATTTGAAAAAATAATGAAAGAAAACTTCCCTAATTTGGTGAAGGAAATAGAGACATAAAAGTCAAGAAGCACAGAAAATCCCAAACAAGTCAGACCCAAAGAGGATCACACCAAGACACATCATAATTACAATGCCAAGGTTAAAGATAAGGAGAGAATCTTGAAAGCAGCAAGAGAAAAGCAGAGAGTTACCGACAAAGGAGTTCCCGTAAGACTGTCAGCTGATTTGTCAAAAGACATTTTGAAAGCTAGAAGGAACTGGCAAGAAGTACTCAAAGTGAAGAAAAGCAAGGACCTACAACCTAGATTACTCTACCAGCAAAGCTATCATTTAGAATTGAAAGTAAAGCTAAAGCATTTCATCATCACCAAGCCACTATCACATGAAATGTTAAAGCGACTTAAGAAAAAGAAGATCAAAAGTATGAACATTAAAATGGCAACAAATTCACAACAATCAACAACTGAATCTAAAGAAACAAACTAAGCAATCAACCAGAACAGGAACAGAATCATAGATATGGAGATCATTTGGAGGGTGATCTGCTGGGAGGGGGAAAGGAGAGAATGGGGGGAAAGGTGCAGGGATTAAGAAGCATAATTGGTAGGTACAAAATAGGCAGGGCAGTTAAGAACAGCATAGGAAATGGAGAAGCCAAAGAACTTATATGCACCACCCAGGGACATGAACTAAGGGGAGGGGGGCGTTCCTGGAGGGAAGGGACCAGGCAGAAGGAGGCAAAGGGGGAAAATTAAGACAACTGTAATAGAATAATCAATAAAATATATATTTTTAAAAATCCACATGTTATTCAAAACTCACTCAACTCACTCAAATAGTCAGCATTCATCAAGATTGCTACCTATGAGATCCCACCCCTTATTACGCAAGCTAGGGAAAACAGCGAATGAGGGGGCGAGGCAAAGGGAGCAGGTGCAAAGAAAGCAACCCCTGTTCTCTAGAAGCTGATGGCCTGGTTACCAAAGCTGATCAGTGGTCCCTTTGAGCCTCATTTCCTTTTCAGGCTCAGTGGCAACACAACCAAGTCGGGGAAGAGGCCCTCCCTAGGAGCTGACTATGGGAACAGACCGCCAGGGGCTGCTATAGGAGAACATGACAAAGTACATGTACCTCCAAAAGAACTCCCTGGGTTAACAAGGAAATCATTTACACATTTATAAGCTCAGTGCCTGGGGGGTTGGCGGCAGGATGGGGAAAAGACTGAATCACCTGAAATTTGTTCCCAGTGTGTGGGTGGGAGCGGAAAGTCTTAGCAGCCTCCAAGCAATTCCCTGAAAGCTTGACATGCCTGAGTCTTATTCATTCATAGTGTGATCAGACCTGATCGGGGCCTGCCGTGGCACAGCCACAGTTCCGGCCTTGAATGTCGCAAGCTTCCCCTGCTGGATGGAAGAGCCAGGTAGGACAGTCCCATCTGAGAGAAAGCTGACTCCCTTCACTTGCCCCTACCTTGTTTGTTTGGGTCTCCTAACACTGCTTCACCTTTAACCTCCATCCTCTCTCTGTTCTGGTCTGCTATCTGCCTTAGATCACAAACTCTAATAAGAGGCCAGGGGCTCACAGCTGCTGGGAAACAACCCCCACGCCCAACCCCAGTATCTGCAAATGCTTTCGGGCAGCCATACCTTGGCTCCAACCCTAGGGACCCCAAACCCGTCACAGTTCCCCCCAAATGACATGTCCTTGCTAAAGCCTTCCTTTTGCCCAGGATGTCTCACATCTTCACTTTTGGATCAATGCCCCGAACTCACAGTTCAAGGTCTAGCACAGGTAGCGTGTCCTCCACGCCTTCCAGACAGAGCAAACCTCTGCACTCGCGCCTCAGCCCTTGGCATGCTGTGCTGCTGGAGTTCTAGACAGGGATTCACTGAGGGCAACCCAGTGACCTCCCACGCTCACGTAGCCCAGTCGCTGTCACAAAAAGGTGTTCAATGCCCGTCACTGGAAATTGGCAAAGGCAAATATTGTTCGTGAGTAATACCAACCTGGAATCGTCCCAGAATAATCTTGGCATTACATCCAGGAGCATTTTTGCAATACACATATAAATTGAGGACTTCCCTTTTGCAGCAATTGTCTTTAAACACCTGAAAGATAAACATGATAGGTCTCACACCAAAGCTTTAGACCACATGACTAAAGATATTATTAATTTGGTCTTCAGGTACATCTCAGAAGTTGGGGGGAAATTTCCAGAGAGTGGTTGAGATGGAAATACCAGATTCACCACCATTAATGAAAGAACTGTCCCAGAAACATACTTTTGACAGGTCACTAAACATACAAGCCAGGTAATTTAATGTCCAGAGCAGTCAGCTGCAGCTAGGAGAATCTCATGGTGAACTTGACCCCATATGATCAATGGTCAGGAAGTGGGGCTGTGGCTAAGGGTGATGCATTTAGATTTCTGTCCTAGCAGAAAGATTTGCGTCAGGTAGTGTCCCGAAGCTGTGCTGGCTTGCTATTTCAGTATGAATCAAGGGTTGGCAAACTTTCTCCATAAAGGGTTGGAGAGTAAGTGTCTTTAGCTTTCAGGCCACGGTGCAATGGTCTCTGTTGCAACTATTCAACCCTGCTGCACACGATACTTAAATGAGTGGGCATGACCAACACCACATTATTTATGAACACTGAAATATAATTTTCACATGTTGCAAACTATTAGTCTTAGTTTAATTAAAACATTTTATTTTGAAATAGTTTAAGACTCATAAGAAGTAGCAAAAATAGTACAGAGTTTCTGTGTGCCCTTCTTTTCACTGTTTCCAATGATTTAAAAATATGGAAACCATTCTTAGCTCACAGGCCATACAAAAACAGGTGGCAGGCAGGATTTGTCCCAACAAATCCCATGCTGCAGTCTGCCAACTGTCGGCCTGTGGGTGAGGCAGACACACGGACTGCATCGTACTCAGCTAGCGCATTTCAGAATGCATCCCAGAAGCACAGAGAAGGAGCGTGTGTATCAAATAGGTGTTCAGAAAGCGTCCCGGTGGAGGTGGCACTAGAAAGTGTTGGGAACTGCCCTGCTTGGTATCAGAAGCTGTAACCCCCGCCAAGGCTAAGGCTGAGGGAGTGGCCTTGGACCATAAGCCAGCAAGGAGACAAAAGCTTATCTCCCTGGCAGGAGCGCTGCTTCTGCTGCTTCATTCATAACTGAACCCCAATGCTTGGTCGGTTAGCCAATAATGGGTAAGATTCCCCAAGGGGGGAACAACCTAAGATAGGCACAATCACGTGGGAGGCCCCCAAGAAAGGACTTTGGGGGCTACAGCAAAAGAGGGTGATGGACCTCGCTCCTCAGCTTCGACATAGCCTGAGCCCTCATCGTCTGGGAGAAAATCTCCTTATCCTTGGCTGCCTTACTTCCCTTGCTCCACCTAAGCCTGAAACAATGACAGGGTGGTGCAGCCCTGTGCTGAAAAGGGCAGGTTCCCTGGGTGATCAGGCCTAAGAAAGAATATGTAAGATCCTGTGAAACCTGCTTTGTTTAGAATGCTCTCAGTTGAATGAGAAGGGTCCAAGGAAGAAGTAAGTTTGTTCTTTAAAGTTTCACAGCTCTTTGACCCTGACTCAAAATAGGCCCTCAGACTTCCTTGTTATCTATTGTTTGATCCTTACTTCCTGGCAATGTTTAATGAGCTTTTACCTGAATTCTTGTTCAAATGAAACCAATAAAAAGCCTCTCCGGAGGAGGAACAGGGCGCTCTCCCCACCAGAGAGAGGGTGGCCAAGGTGCTCCCCAACGTGAAGAGTGGCCCTGCTGTTCCTACTCCCCCACAGGACCTGGTTGTCTCTGTGTATGTTTTTTCTCATGTTTCGACGAGCATCTGCAGCTGAGATGGATACTGCTGGCCGGTATCCACCACAAGAAAGTTTTATGGCAGAATGTTAAAGAACAAAAACAGCTTAAAACGATGTTTAAATGGAGAAAGTCTTCATGACCATGGCTTAAGTAAGGGTTTCTTGGCTGCAACACAAAGAGAACAAGTGACCAAACAAACAAAATGTAAGGAAGACTTCATCGAAATGAAAGACTTCTGTGCTTCAGAGGAAACCACTGAGCAAGTGGAAAGACAACCCACAAAATGGGAGAAAAATATTTGTGGATCGTATGTCTGCTAAGAGACTCGTATTCAGAATATATGAGGAACCTATAGAACTCAACAGTAAGAGACAAATAATCCACTGAAAAAATGAGCAAGAGAATTGAATAGGAATTTTCACGAAGAATACGGGCAAATGGCCAAGCACATGAGAAATGCTCAACATCATCAGTCATTAGAGAAATGCAAATCAAAGATACCTCTTGACACCCACGAGGAGGCTATCATCAAAAGGGGGGCAGGCACAAAGCCTGGCAAGGACCAGGAGAAATGAGAACCCCCATCCGTTGCCGGAAGGAATGTGAAATGGCGCAGCTGCTTTGGAAGACAGTTTGGAAGGTCCGGAGAATGTTCAATGCAGAGTTACCATATGACCCACCCAAGAAACATGTACACTTTGAAAGTACATTTACTGACATATGAATTATATCTCAATAGGCTATTATTAGACATCATAATACCGAAAGGAAGTTGAGGAGATTAATCAGATGAGAGAATGAATTCCAGGAAACGGGATGTTTCATTTCTCCAAGTGAGTCAACTGCAGTATAGGATGGGGGTAAGGAAGAAGCAGGACGAGAAACTTGGGGAGTTAATAAAGACCCAAACAGGCCTCTCTCAACAGCGGCAGGAGTGGGGTCTGACCTGACCCCTCAGCAGAGGAACACGGACTCCATGGGAGTCCCCCCCCCCGCCACACTCCTGCTCCAACCCCGATGTCCACTCAGGACACTGGCTTCTCTATCCCCTAGAGAGCTGCTAAACCAAAGCAGTGATTTTCTTACCTCCTGCGACTTGATAACCTCCTTATCCACAGGGCAGAGTGGCACTGCACTTAATTCTCTGGAGAGAAAAATAAAAATAGAGCCAGCATTAAGAGCTGACCTCCACGGCTCTTCCAACAGCAGCCCCAGCACCCCAGCCACGCTGGACCCCCGAAGTTCCCCCTGAGCAGGCCCACCCTGTCTTCACTCACACCATGTCCTTCTCCCAGAAGGTCCCCCCACACCCCAGTTTCAGCACCCCTCCACTCTGCCTGAAAAGCTCCCATTCATCACCCAGGACACAAGTCAAGTAGGAGTCCCCCAGACAGAGTCAAATGCCCCCTGCCTGTGCTCCCTCGGCAGTCCTTTGCTTATGACACTGTACCACGACCTGTCTGCTCCACTAGACAGGAACGTTCTAGAAGGCGGAGACTGGGTCCTATTCCACAATGAGCCTCTAGCTCTTCAACTGTGGACAGCAGAGTTTAATTTACCAAGGTACCTGGAGCGCAGAGGTACTGGATGAACAAACCCATGAATGAATCGGGATGTGCTGTGCTAACCTCCTTTCTAAGCTTGGCAGGATACAACTTGCTTGCTGGCCCTAATAAGCCCCAAGTGCCTGCTTTCCTGTCTCTCCTGGTCTCCTCCCTCAGCGCGGCGTGACCCAGGTTTTACAGCCGCCCTAGAGTGAACAGCACGTGTGTCCTCCCGCACGCAACACCGCCTCTGCCTGAAGGCAAGGACAGGTCTGGGGCACTACAGCAAAGACCCTCGGGAGACATGGGACCTTCCCCACACAGACCGCTCCTAGGTTTGCCCTGACATGCAAAACGGGCACGGTCTGAATTTGAGCAAAAGGTGAAAATCAGTCAGTGGGTGGCAAATAATGAAGATTGCTCCTCAGGGTCTCAGAGGGGGAGCCCTCCGCCTACGTGTGGTTCTGTGGCCAATCGCAGCGATTCCAGAACCGAGATTACAGTTGCGTGGCCACAGATGACGTTTAGACCTCAGGACACGGCCGCCTGGTCCTGGCCTGCTGTGGCCAGAGCCGACCTGCCCACTCACCGCAGGGCCAGGATGCAGTGCTGGCAGAAGCGGTGCCCGCAGCCGGTCTGGTGGGGGTTGTGAAGCACGGAGTGACAGAAGGCGCACTTGTATCGCTCTTCTAGCGGCTCCACGAACTGGTACTCCGTGTCGGGCTCGAAGTCCAAGGAAATGGAGTTGCCGGAATTCTGGCGGATGAAACCACAGGGGGAGCCTCCTTGCTCCTCAGGGTAAGCCATTCTGGGGGAGGGGCAGGCAGGAGACCAGAAGGAAAATTAGGTGTGCACACACCCAAACAACTACACGCAGCAGGAGTTTTCGTTATAGAACGTCACTGACATGGTCACTCTGTACGACCCTGTGACAACAGCGGCAACCTCCTGCCGCTGGAGGGCTCCCGCAGAGGGGAGACACCTGGGGCGCTCAGGCGGGAGGCTGGACCTGATGGCTTCTAGCGAGATTCTAGGAGACTTCAACCTGTGTCCACCCACCTTTTTACAGGGCGCTACATTATTCTGCCAGTTTGGCCTCGTGCTTGGACAAAATCCAGCCGGGCATTAACCACATTCTAAGCAAACTGTTCTTATGAATATTCTTCCACACTCAATTGAGGGCAGCGAAACAAATGTTTTGTTAACATTTTTCAGAAGCAAGAACCACACACAATAATACATTTCTTGCAGTATACAGTAAGTCCTCGCTTAATGTTATTGAAAAGTTCTCAAAATTGCTGAAAAACAACACATAACAAAAGCAATTTTACCGTAGACCAATTGATGCACACAAGAGTTTAAGTTCTTAGGGCACCGCGTCGACGTTACAACGAAGCAGCGTTATACAGAAGCCATTCGAGGACCTGCTGTACACAGATAAAGCACCACCTTCCACCCAAGTCCGTTCTCACCTGAACTAGACGAGAACCCATCAACTGCTTTTCTCCTCGGCTCCCTTGTCCATACAACAGCCAGGGCGATGTTTTCAGAATGCAGGTGTAATGGATGGCTATTTCCCGTCCTCTGTCAGTGGTTTCCCAGGGCTCCTAGGGGGAAAGTCAGAACGCTGAGCAGGCGATCAGAGTGCATCCTCCCCACCCAGCAGCATCCGGGACTTCTCCCTCCCTCGCTGTCCGCCTCCCGGCCTCAGGCTTCTGGTTCTCCTGATACACGGTGCCGTCTGCCGCCGTGGGGCCTTGGCACAAGCTGTGGCCTCTGACCGGAGTGCGTCCCCTAACCCTTTCCAGTCCCCTTCACTTAGCCAACTCGTATTCATGCTTCAGATTTTGTTTCAAGCTTCCTGTTCTCATGTGGGCTTGCTCTCCTCCCCCCTAGTCTAAGAGCAGGAGGCCCGCTCAGCAGGCTGGAGGACATGCTTGGCCTCCAGGGGGTGGCTGGGGGACAGGGTGGGCGGGGGAGGGGGTTTTCACTGCACAATCCTTTTGAATTCAACATGAATGCATGACCTATTGAAAACTAAGCAAACGTACAAACACTAAACATCCACTGTGAAATCCGTCATAAAACCAGCAAGCCTTGATTTGAAATGAGACACGTGTTTGTGTGAGTGTCTGATTTGTATCTGTTTCCTCAGCGACACACAGATGCATCTGGGCTCGCTCAGGGTCGCACCCTCAGCACTGAGCCAGGCATGGGGAACAGCTCGGCTGTTGGATTGATGTCATCAAGTGGACTTCTTGAAAACCCTCACCAGAGCAGCTGTGATGACTGCTGACCTCTAGCACAGTGATTCTTAGCCTGCTTTTGAGAACGAACTTCCTCCTGCCTTTGAAAACCTGATGAGAACTCTAGACCTTCTCCCTGTGCAATAGCACTCCTGCCTGACGTCTGGACCTTTAGGGACCCTCTGAACCCACCGGCGTCCCCCAGGTTAACAGAAGCCCTGCCTCCCCAGCAGGAGTGCTGTTACTTCTGGCACAGCGCCAGGAGCGGTGTCTGAGGATGTGTCTGACAAATGGCTCACAGATGGGAAGCCATCTGGGGTGGTTCCCCGAGGGTGACCGACTATCCATGGCTCAGGGGCAGGAAAGCTTGGCCTCAGGCTTGCTGGCTTGCTTTGGCTTGCTCTTGGGATCCCTCCCGATTCTCTTGCAGCTGATGAGGTCAACTGGCCCCATTCAGTCCTCAGCTCGGCTCAAGGCAGCTGCTGGCCTCTCCTGCTGCTGGAGTGGTCTGAGGCTGGGGTGCGGTCTGGGTGAAGGAAGCAGAGGAAGCAAATACGCTGGCCTCTTAACAGCAAATAAAGCTTTCTCTCTGGAGAAGTCCAGCAGACTGGGGAGATATATATTATATATATATATTTATTCATTCATTCTTTTGTCCTGGGGTTTGAGACTAAAGCTCTACCTTTTCTTTGCATGTGTTTCCTGTAGCACTTCAGGGTGGCAGGTGATCAGTGCAAGATGTGATTGTTCCCCTTTTTTAACACGGCTTACTCTTGAGAGTTAAACACTTTAGTTATGAAGAACAACAAGCATAGCACTTGAGTTACATGCATAACCCTAACAGCCAAGACCCACCTTTCCCTCGGAGAAGTGCAAGACCAATTTCAAGAGGCCCTAACATGCCCGTGTTCTCTGGTCCCAAGGGAGGTTGACAATTCGCATCCTGTGCTTCTCTGGGATTCTCTTCTGAGACCAGGGTCATGTCTGCGTCACACGACATCTAGATTTGGACCCAGACGTGTACCCTGAAGCAACAGGCTGGCTCGGCCCCCAGAGCAAGGCAGAAGGACGCACAAGACTCGGTTCAGCTTTCCCTCTGCTGCCCTGTACCTCTCTCCTAGCGCAGGAATTCAGTGTGCTCATCTGTGTGTCTGTCCATCCTTCTCTACAGCAGCAGTTCTCAAACTTTTTGATGTCAGGACCCCACCTTTAGACTTTTAATAATTGAGGACCCAAAGGCCCAGAACAGCCAGCTCAATAATAAAGAAGTAGGACAAGCCCTGGCCAGTGTGGCTCAGTTGCTCCATTGACTGGAGCGCCATCTTGTAAACTGGAAGTTCATGGGTTTGATTCCGGGTCAGGGTACATGCCTGGGTTGTGGGTTTGGCCCCCGACTGGGGTGCACACAAGAAGCAACTGATCAACGTTTCTCTCCCTCTCTCTCTTCCTTCCTTTCCCTCTCTCTAAAATCAGTGAGCATGCCCTTGGGTTAGGGTAAAAATATATAAATAAAATAAATATTTTTTAAAAGTAGAGCTAAATCGGAGGACTGACACTACCCAACTTCAAGACCTCCTATAAAGTTACCGTAACGAAGACAGTGTGGTGTTGGTAGAAGAGCAGACAAGTAAGCCAACAGAACAGAGCAGAGAGCCCAGGAACAGACCCGCGTGAACCCAGTCAACTGATCCCCGGCAGAAGAGCAGAGGCAACGCAGTAAGCAAAGACAGTCTTTCCGCAAATGGTGCTGGAACAACTGTGAATCCACAAAACACAAAAACAAAAAAAAAAATAAATCTAGACACAGATTTTTACACCCTTCGCAAAAATGAATTCAAAATGGATCACAGACCTAAATGTAAAACACAAAACTATAGAAAATAACACAGGAGGAAAAACTAGGTAAACTTGGGTTTGGCAATGACTCTTTAGATGTAACACCAAGGGCATAATACATGAAAAGAAAGAACTGATAAGCTGAACTTCATTAAAATTAAACATTTCTACCCTGTGAAAGATACCATCAAGAGAATGAGAAGATATGCCAGAGACTGGGAGAAATTATTTGCAAAAATATATCTGATAAAGGAATATTAGCCAAAATATACCTCACCAAAGAAGATACACATGTGCAAATAAGCATATGGAAAGATGCCCAGCTCGTATGTCATCTGGGAAATGCAAATTAAAATGACGACGAGGCACGCCCATACGCCCATTACTCGGCCCACATCCAGAACACTGGTGAGGGTGTGTCGCTACAGGTTCTCTTCCTCTCTCTCTCCCTCTCTTTTTGGTAAACATAGGCACACCTTGTTTTATTGAACTTCACTTTTTGTGCCTCACCGATATTGCCTTTTCAGTAACATTGAGACAAAACATCCACCAGCAAAAAGATTATGACTTACTGAGGACACAGATGATGTTAGCGGTTTTTTTTTAGCAATTAAGTGTTTCTAATTAGAGCACGTGGAACAGGTGCTCTAACACCTGGCTGGTAGGAATGCAGTGCTATGGAGGACAGTGTGGCAGTTTCCTGCAAAACGAAATGTGCTCTTATTGTCGGGCCCGGCACTCACACTCCTTGGTGTTCACCCGAGAGAGTGGGAAACTTGTGTCCACATAAAGTTGCCCACAAACATTTATAGGAGCCTTATTCATAATGGCCAAAACTTACATGTAATTGAGATATGAACAGGTAAAGTGTACTACGTTCAGACAAGGCAACATTATTCAGGGCTAAAAAGAAATGAGCTATCAACCTATGAAAAAATATGGAGGAACCTTCAATGTATACCTGTTACTAAGTGAAAGAAGCCAGTCTGACTCCAACGATATGACGTTCTGGAAAAGGCAAAACTGTGGAGGCAGTAGAAAGACCAGTGGCTGCCAGGGGTCAGGATGGAGGGAGGAAGGATGACTGGGTGGATCATTGAGGATTTTTAGGGCAGTGAAACTACTCTGTCCACCACTATAGTGGTGGACACGTCATTACACACTTGTCCAAACCCATAGAACAGTGATTTTCAACCTTTTTCATCTCATGGCACACATAAACTAATTACTAGAATTCTGTGGCACATTGGCAACATATATTTTTGCCAGTCTGACAAAAAAATAGGTGTAATGTTGATTTGTTCACACTGGATGGCTACTGTTGTATGGACTGTTATTTATTTGACAATCTAACGGAAAGGAGGTCAGTGTCCTGATGAGATAGTCAGGTCCTGCAGGTTTTAAAAATTCTCGTGGCACCCGAGTGTGCCTCTTGCGGCACACTGGCTGATGATTGCCACCACAGATTACAAGGGTGAAACCTAACGTAAACTATGGACTTGGACGATAATGGTGTGTCGAAAGAAAGGTAGCAGAATATGCCACCCGAAAATATAACTGTGGGAGCTCAGGACATGCCACCCCAAACTATGCTGCATTGGCGTATGGATTATTTTGAATCATAGACACTTGGAAAAATAGCAAATGCAGGAAGTGGCTTTCTTTGAATACCTTATCTGCCTACAGACAGGTCCTCTAAGAGGAACTCAGTTATCACAAATCTCCTTTCTGGGAGTTTCATCAAGCAGGGAAGATTGCCTCACCACAGAAGGAGGAATGAGAAGCGGGCACCCAGATAAACTTTGCTGCAAACTCTCATCTTCTGTCTATTCTTCTAAGGACCCATTCGTCCTCCCTGAAAATCATTTACTCTCCCGTAGAAGGCCCACACACACACCGTTTCCTTATTGAAACAGTGTGCAAGTCTGAGCTCTCTGCCACCTTGGAGAGCTCCTGCACTTTGCCGGGGTATGTCCCAAGCATACAGGAGGGACATGTGTTAATAAACTTCTGTTTGGTTTTCTCTTGTTAATTTGTCTTTTATTACACAGGGTCTCAGCTAAGAAGAGCTCAGAAGGGTAGAGGGAAATTATTTTCCTCCCTTACACAGTGTAGCTTCATCGACTGTAGCACATGTACCACTCTGGGGGAAACGTGGACAACGGGGAGGCCGTGGAGGGAGCGGGGGCAGGGAGCACATGGGAACCCTCTACATCTTCCACTCAGTGTTGCTGTGTGCCTCAAGTCATTCTACAATATGAGGTCTCTTGAAAAAGTTGAGAACCCCAAAGAGTTTTTATGTGGGTTATAGCTATCAGTATTTATCAAATTTGAGATTGAAATTGAGAAATTGAAAAATATTTTGTTAATTCACTTTAAGATAATAATGAGCCAGATATGTTAACATACATAAAATTTTAATGAAAATTAACCATTTCCCAAAACAATAAAAAATTAGTGAGAAGAGTGGCATTGTCTTAGATTTTTGCACATTTCTGGGCTAACTATAAGGGGGCTGGGTTTTC